GGGAGGGGCAGAGAGAGGGAGACACAGAACCCGAAGCAGGCTCCAGGCTCCGAGCTGTCGGCACAGAGCCTGACGCGGGGCTCAAACTCACGAACCGTGAGATCATGACCTGAGCTGAAGTAGGGACAATTAACAGACTGAGCCCCCCCCCACCACCAGGCGCCCCGATTTCTGATATTTTTCTTTAAACATATTCAAAGATCAAGATTTACCACCACTGTGGGCATTCAAACGGTCACAGCAACTCTCTTGAACAGAGCTAACACAAGGCAACTTCTGGCCGGCTGCCAAAGCCTGGCCAAGGCACCCGGGAATGCTGGCAACCTCCACTGTGTCACTACCTTCCCCAACACTGAAAGCCAGTGAAGATGTAAACTGCATATTCAGTAGTTTGAGAGTGTGTGGTTGAGGCATTAAGAACTCACATGTCCCCAACGACCAGGCAGGGAAAGTTCCAGAATGGAAAAGGCTAGAGAAAAGGATGTTACTAAAAAGAACAGCCAGTATCTCCTAAGAGCCACTCATGGCCTTGCAAATGCTTAGACTCATGGGTGCCAGAATCTTTAATTATCCAAAAGAGTCCAGAAGTCTAGATCTAAAAAAATAGTAATTATAATTATAATCTCCTGGTTATGAAATGTGGGCAAATTTTTTTTTTAATTTGAAATAGGAGTACACAAATGCATGAGGTACAACACAACATATAATTCTGTGGCCCACATAAAGGCTGGAGGTCATAATTTTGTGTCCTCTGGCCACATAAACCAAAATAATGTAGGACACTGAATGGGGCCCCGGCCTCATAACCTACAAAAAATTTCTCTGTGGATGTTACAAATAGGAACCTGAAGGCAAGGTCAATGGCTCCTGAGAAGTCCACATGATGAAAATCACAAACAATTCTGCTGTAGGAAGGATGTTTTTACTTCTTGCTTTATGGAAACCATTTTCTCAACAGTCATACAACTTTGCTTTTTTTTTTTTTAATTTTTTTTTCAACGTTTTTTATTTATTTTTGGGACAGAGAGAGACAGGGCATGAACGGGGGAGGGGCAGAGAGAGAGGGAGACACAGAATCGGAAACAGGCTCCAGGCTCCGAGCCATCCGCCCAGAGCCTGACGCGGGGCTCGAACTCACGGACCGCGAGATCGTGACCTGGCTGAAGTCGGACGCTTAACCGACTGCGCCACCCAGGCGCCCCACAACTTTGCTTTTTGTTTTTTGTTTTGCAATCTGCTTATTATAAAATCAGTAATATTTTAAAGAATGAAGTGAATTTAACTTTTACGGTTTTTCTTTGAAAATTCTGCCAGTAGTTTGGGGGAAATTATTATTTTTTTTTTATTACTTATTTGATCAACCCAGACTGCATACAATGGCAACAACCAAGTTATAGTCACTAAAATATATATATTAAACAAACATTTTGCCACAGTAAGCAATATGAAATATCCTCCACTGCCCTTTGTCAAGGTCTATGTGAGCTTAAACTTGTCAGCCCGTAACAACACACATGCACAACCACACACATTTCAAGAAGAAAAGTGAGCTCCTACCTATGGGAAATGAGTGATATCATCTGCACTAGGCTAAAAGAAAGGTCAGTTCAACCCCAAATTACCTACCTTGCTAGTTCACTGCAGAGCCTCCATCATTTAAACCATCGCCTCTGATTAGGCATGTTCTTCAAAAGGTCCCTACTGACACATTTACCCACTAGCACTCATTATCACGACCGCCTGATAATGAAAACTGGGGCTATGATCACAGTTCACATTTATAGCTTGCTTTACACTGACAAGGCACTTTCTTTTTTTTTTTTTTTTTTAATGTTTATTTATTTCGAGAGAGAGGGAGGGAGAGAGACTGTGTGTGTGTGTGCGCGCGCACGTGCGTGAGCGGGAGAAGGGCAGAGAGAGAGGGAGAGAGAGAATCCCAAGCAGGCTCTGTGATGTCAGCGCAGACCCCAGAGCAGGGCTCAATCTCACGAACCTTGAGATCATGACCGGAGCCGCAATCAAGAGCCTCGAGAGTCGGACACTTAACGGACTGAGCCACCCAGGCGCCCCTGACAAGACACTGTCCCTGATAGGATCCCACTGTCTTCCTAATCCCTGTGCTCCCTATATAGTTGGCCTGCCTCTCACCCCTCCCACTGTTGTGGGGTTATTGGTTTCCCTGTCGCCTTTCCCTGAGCCCTGGATCTTCCCACATCATAATCCCAGCACAATGTGTGGTACAGCAGAGACCACTGGAAAAGTGCTGTTGTTTGTATGTGGGAGGGAACTGAGGCCCAGGGAGGTCAGATGACTCTCTGAGGACTTCAACCCCCACTCCACGGTGCCATTGCCCAGATGGCCTTTTCATTATCTACCCCAGCAATGTAGCTGCTGAGGGAATGGAGTTATGAACGGGAAGCACAAGATTTGAGCAAGGAACTTTAAATGGAGGAGGAGTGAACCGTAGAAGACAAACTTTCCCTACAGTTCTGTGTGGGACCTGACCTCCCATCCGTTTGTTGCAAGGCCTACTTCCTCCCCTTGGATGCACTGAGCCACCGGAACATTCTCCAGGCTGTTCTGGCACTCCGCTGCCGCTCACCCATTTGGGTCACCTTTCTTGGGCCTAAAGCCAATTTCATTTACATCGCTTCATACCTGAGTGAAATGAGACACTGAGCAATTCATATTGTACATAACTCATGCCCACAAACTCCCATCCAGCTTCCTTTCTCACCCAGCCTTCCCCCTGTTCGAAGACAATAAAGCATTGAAGGGAACTGTTTACATTGATCTTTTCATTAGTTTGAAGACAGTCTTCTAACACCCTCCTAAATGGTACATAACTGAGGCAGAAAACAAGCTTAGGTTTCATCTGGAACCTTCTCTTAAGTGCAAAATAAGGCTCAAGGATCAGAAGCTAAACAACACAGAAAGAAGAGTGAGCATAAGTAGAGTCTGTAGTTTTCATAAAATCGAAGAGACTCGTGTCTGGCAGACAGACCTGAGTAGCCATGCGTCTTACTTTTTTTTTACCCAAATCAGTGCAGTATGGACATCTACCCTCAGGGCACAACTCGCCGTAGATTTTACCATTGCCTTTCCTAACCATGCTGGGACCAAGAAAAATGACCAAAAGTTGAAGCAGTCAGGATTAAAGACAGGATTGAATGTAACGGTGCCAGCTCTACCACAGGGAATGAAGGTCAGAGACCCCCAGTCGTGCTTTCTGTACCCTTCCCTCAAGCAGGCTCTGTCTGGAAGGAGTCATGGGGCCAGAAGGCCTGCCCAGTCACTTACCGATGGACACATTAGCTCTGAACACTTTCCTGCCTCTGTAGAAGGCAGCAGTCAGGGCTGTTTAGGGGAATCTGCAGTGTAGGTGAACGAGGTTTTCTGGACGAGCCTTGCCAGTATCATGTGCTAAAATAAAGCACAGGGAGCTGGAGGACTGGGGAGGGGCATGCAGCTTGGCCCATCAAGAGAAACCCTGAAAGCCTACACACACTCCCTTTTCTCCTTTATCCTCCAAAAGGCAATTTAACTGCACGTAACTGAATGTGCGTAACTTCTAGAGAAAGATAACAAGCTCATTTCCCTTTTTTTTTTTTTTTTTTTTTTTTTTTTTTTTTTTACCCCTGGCTTCAGTTAACAAATCTTTCCCTACTTATAGAGGCTGTTGTGAAAGAATCATCTGCAGGGAACGGTGACGTTATTTAAAAGGCATGAGAAATGAATCAAGGCTACTTTTTTCACTCACCTTTGCCTCTTCATTCACGTCCCAGGTGAAGGAAACAGCGTTATATGCAATCTCCTCGATGTTTCCAATCGTATTAAAGCTCTCCTTGTAATCAGCTGTCACGTTAAAAAAGAAAAAGGTTTTAAGAGAGTAAGAGTTACTTGATGACATGTACTTAAATGTCATTTTCCAATGAAGAGATTTAAACTTTGCCTATTCTTCCGGCTACCCCTTAGCAACAGTTAAGGATTTGTGCTCGCACATTTTCTTTTACTAATATTTTCTCTATGAGAATGTTCTGCTATTGGGAGAGCAAATCTAGGTGAAGCGATGTTCCTAAGAGATTTGCTTATTGGTTTCATTTTTTACGAGGTTTACAGAATTTTTAGTGTTTTTCCCTCTTGAATCCCTGGACACATATCCACTCCTTCACCTCCTCACATTCCTGTAGCTTAGTTGTGCTGGAAGGTGCCAGAGTCATCTGTAGGGACGGTCTGGTAGAACAATATGCTGGTTATCAGCCAGGCAGTGTTGCGGGAACCCAGGGAAGAGATTCCAGGAGAGTGCAAGGAAACTTTTTTTCTTTTCTTTTTTTTTTTTACTTCCTTTTGGATTTAGGTGCAGAGAATTGAGTTAATCATTTTCACCTCCCTATTACCACTTGTCCATTTAAGGCCTTCTCTTCGTTTATTTCTTTGTTTATGTGAATATTTATGTATTCATTTTTCTTCCCTATCCTCTCCCACAAACGCAACAGCTATCGAGGTGTTTGCTATGTGTGCTTAGAAAATACGTTGGGTTGATTTGCCTGTGTGCATAGCTGTTATTTCCGGAACTTGCGCTGTGCTATGGCTAGACTTGCCAGATCTAGCAGTTATTTGGGATATACTTATCCTGAAGAAGTATCTGTTGTTTGCCAGTAATTCAAACTTAACTGTGCACCCTATATTTTATCTGGCAGCCTTAGCTAGGAACCTCTTCGGGTCTCTAATCACATTGCTGGTGGCATGCCTACGTCTAACAGCAGCCGTAGAGAATTCTGTGGTAACCATCAGCCACTGTTTACTTATCCGCTCTCCCCAGATATGGACCCTCGAGTGGTCTCCAGCTTTCTGGTACACAGACTACATCGCAACTGATCCCTACTACCCACGCTCTCCACTGTCACCGTCATACATGGCATTAAGGCCTGGACATGATGTTCCTGCTTTTTTGTTTGTTTAATTTTTTATGTTTATTTATTTATTTTTGAGAGAGTGAAAGAGAAAGAGAGAGACAGAGAGGGAGGGAGGGGCAGGGAAAGAGGGAAACAGAATCCCAGGCAGGCCCCACGCTGTCAGCGCAGAGCCTGAAGTTTGACGCAGGGCTGGAACCCACGACCTGTGAGATCAGGACCCAAGCCGAAATCAACAGTCGGACTTTGAACCACCTGATTCACCCAGGTGCCTCAATATTCCTAGTTTTAATCCTCACTATGTCTTGAGTGTTTTAGCTTATGCTTACCATCTGGATTTCCCCCTACTTTTGGCCTACTTTGATTCTGTACTAAATAAACATCGGCCGTGTCCTGCCTAGATGGCAACAAGGTCCACGGCCCATCTGCTTTCCTTCGAGGTCTGGATCATTCACAGGGTGGTCACCTAATCACAAATGTTCTTTCTCTCAAAGGTCTCATCATGACTCTTCTGAAATGAAAGTCAGATCACGTGCTTTTTCTAATTTTTCTCAGGGCTAAAATTTACACCATGATCTATCATGTCCTTCACAATCAGGACTGGACACCTCTCTGTGCCCTCATACTCCAGGCCCACAATGGGGGCCAGGAGAAGAGGTCTTTTTGTTTATAAAATCTTTCTAGTGGCACCTGGGAGGCTCAAACGTCCAACTTCGGCTCAAGTCATGATCTGTGACGACAGGTTTGGGAGGAGCCCATCAGGCTCTGTGTGCTTTGACAGCTCAGAGCCCTGGAAGGGCCAGCACCAGCAGACTCTGCCAGCTTCTCCCCCTCTCTCTGTCCCTTCCCTGCTCATGCTCTGTCTCTCTCTCTCTCTCTGGGGGAGACAGGGGGGTCCCAAAGCAGCTCCAGGCTCCTGAGGCTGTGGCACAGAGAGCCTGACTGGTCGGGCTGCACACAAACCCTTGAGAGATCGCTGACCTGGGCAGTGGGTAGCTAACATTGCCTTGAGCCACCCAGGCGCCACTAGAAAAAATTTTTTAAATAAATAAATAAAATCTTTATGAATATTTTTCTTGCTGCACCAGGACAGGAGCTGGGTGTTATGACGAATTCCCAGGATGTGTCAAGTGTTTGTTGCCTACAAAATCGGACATGATTCTGACTAAATGGTCATCTCTTCAAGCTGTGTCCTTCTGGGTTGCTGTGTCACTCTGGGGCTGGTGGCTTCTCGAGGCTTTAACAAGCTGTGCTCATGCTGTGACATTTTGAAGTCTGCTTTCCTAAAGTTCACATATCCAGTCATTTTTATCCATTTCCTCCTCACTTATTGTAAAGTCCAAGTTCATGTGATCCTTTATCAAGATTTTCACCACTTTCTTACAGTAATGCAACCCATCGTGCTTGTATGAATCAGGTGGAGAGAAGCAGTAGGTCCTATTTGCTTTTTCTACCCGTGACATAAATAATAATAAAACAAAGTCCGTAATAATAAGTCCATATTAATCCATAATAAAATAAAGTCAGTTTGATTTGGTTTTCTCTTTATTACCAGGACCTGTATTGAGGGTTAATCACAGAAAAACCTACTTTTTAACATGCCCTCCAAAATAGCCCTCCAGACCCATTCTCTAGAATGTGTTGTGCCAATCTAGACTCCACCAGAATCCTATTTCCCCTTTTGCTCACCCAATTTCTAACTTTTTTTTTTTTTTGCCAATCCAATGGGTACAAAGTGGTATCCTATTGACGTAACATTTGCATTTCTTCTTCCACTTGTGAGTTCAAGCATCTCTTCACATCCGGGATAGCTAAACAGGTGTTTGCTTATATAAACTGCCTGTTCATGGCCTTTGTCCATGTTTCTGTTGGTTCCCCCAGGAAAACTTTAAAGCAAAACCATGTATCTTTGCATTATTATTATTATTATTATTATTATTATTATTATTATTAGAGAGAGACCATGTGTGCATGAGTGGGGGAGGGGCAGAAGGAAAGGAAGAAAGGATCTCAAGCAGGCTCCACACCCAGTTTGGAGCCTGACTCAGGGCTTGATCTCATGACTAAGAGATCACGATCTGAGCTGAAATCAAGAGCAAGAGGCTTAACCGACTGAGCCACCCAGGCGTCCCTATCTTTACGTTTTAAAAAAAGCATACACACTTTAATAAAAAAGCATTCATCATAAAGACCACAATCTACTCCACAAACAACACATCTGTGTAAATATTTCCTGTTTCCTCCCTCAGTCTGTCTCCCTTTCTCCACAATATGTAAATATTTTTATACAGTATTGTGACAATTATTTTTACTTTGCTTTTTTTCCCCCTTAATACTTCTTCAGCATCTTTCCATGTCAATAAATAAACTTGTGGAAAATGCAATTTAGTGTAATTGCAAAATACTATTATACTGAATTTTAAAAATAACTTTGCCAAAACTTTATTTTGCTCTTGTTGGTCATTTAGATGATGTCCGATACTTTGCTACCATAAATAGTACTTCATTTAATTATCTTTATGGCTAAATATTCACATATACTTCATTATTTCAATAAGATATAGTCTCAGAAGTGAAATTAACAAGTCCAAGGCAAATATACTTTTTTATAATTTTTTTTAAGTTTATTTATTTTTGAGAGACAGAGAGAGACAGAGCACAAGCAGGGGAAAGGCAGAGAGAGAGGGAGACACAGAATCTGAAGCAGGCTCCAGGCTCTGAGCTGTCAGCACAGAGCCCAACACGGGGCTCGAACTCACAGACTGCAAGATCATGACCTGAGCTGAAGTCAGACGCTTAACCGACTGAGCCACCCAGGCGCCCTGATTAGCATTTTTAAACAGCTTTAGGTCAACTGTAATGTTTAAAAACCAAAAGTCATATTTAGAAATAAAGACAAACCAAGGCAGTTTGGTCAAACACTTTGACTAAGGATCTTAAATACGAATGCTATACAAATACAATGCTTTCTGCATCCCCTAATCGTGCATAGGGCCTCTGTCAGTTTGTATCATATTCACTTCATCACCAAATAAATATATTGAACAAATATGTACCGTGTGTCCACCGTGTACCAGCCAGTGTCATCACACTGGGGAGACAGCAAGAAACAAGACTAGGTCCCTGATCATGTGGCTTTTACGGTCCAGAAGGAGAGAATATAAATAAGTAGACAAATAAATGAACAACACAATTACATTTAATATGCTTTTTTATGCCAATAACAAAACCCAAAAACACTGGTAAGGCTGCTTTTTACTGAGTGGTTACATTACTTTGTTTATTTCCTTCATACCATGTGCCAGTATTTTATTTATCTGTTTACTTATTTATTACCAGCATTTCCCATTAGCTATTTGTTCTATGCAGGCAAGGAATTGATCTTAAACGCTGCTGTTTTTTCAATGCTTAACATCATACAGATAAGACGCGCTCCATAAATGTGTTGAACAATGGGGTAAGTGAATGAATGTATCCACAAGCATTCTAAACCAAATATATAACTGAGACTGATCTCACACTTTCCTCTTTAACCTTATGCAATATAAGAAATGTCTGTTTATCTTTAGTCTCTAAGCCATTCCTACAGATGGTAAAATAGCTCTGCTATCATTTGTGACTAGGAAAGTTTTCTAAGACTAAGCAGCTTATGCACATTGATGTTGGCTTGTCCACATGTTTTTTGGTCCAATGAATAAAACGCTAATAGCTATACTTCTCATTTCCGAAAACGGTGTTACTGTTGTTTGCCTAAGGGTTTATGGCTCATAGTATAGAAATAGAAACTCAGCAACCTGTTGGTAAGCCTTTCCTCAAGAAAGCTTCTTAAACCCAAATTTTGCAAATGTTGATAGTTGCAATTAGTAAAAGGCATTGTCAATGAGCTGGCATAAGAAGCTTAGTTTCTTGCCACAACAAATTTCCACAATGTTGGTAATTTGA